TCATTAGCACACTGATGGCTGTTTACTACTCACAGAGGGCTGAGTGATACTAGCAATCACAGCATGCTGTGATTGCTAGTATCACTCTATACTCTGCTAGTATTGTTAGGCTGATGGTCCTTCTTGAGCATGTGATCAGCTGGTTTTGGTTGTCAGCAGCAAACTGGTTGATCCACTCTAAGAAGGTGCTATTTAAGAGACTGAGCTGAAAACAGCACCTCAGACTGAGGAAGTCTCTTGGATGAGAGACGAAATGTTTCTAGATTTTTTTTTTTTTTTTTTGCTTTGTTTTGCTTTTGTTTTTTTGAATGTCCAGAGGACCAGATTGAACTTTTTTGGATTTTTCTACCTGGATTATTGAGCATGCATCAGGATGTACATAGTATAAACATAGTCTGTTACTGAGACACCTAACAAAGGAAAAATAAGTTACCTACAGTATAAAACATCCCCTCAAGACATAAATCATGTTTATGTTAATGCACAACATAATTCATAACAAATAAAAATAATAAACAATTTCAATTTGATCTTTGACTACCTTATTTTCAGTTGTTTGTCTCCAAAACAAACAAATATTTACATCTACAAAATAGACAAACTAAAATCCCCTTAACATAATGGATCTACAAACATCAATCTGACAATTAGCAAACATTTTGTAAAAATAAAAAGAATACAGTGTGTGCCTTAAAATTTATTTTCTCATTGGTATTATTGTAAACACAATCTAAAGACATAAATTGTGTTTTTGTGACAGGCTGCTGGTAACAAAGTGTCCTGAAAAACCAGAATAAATTATTGTCTAAGTTGTCTTTCATGTGTAAACACAAGTTTTTTTCACGAGTATATTTGTTTGTTATATGCTTGAATGATTCATTGATCAGAGTTAAATTACATCACAAACAAAATTTTGAAATTGTCTCTTTCATTCCCCTAAAACTTAATCTCAAAATCTGTTTGTATATTTAAAACAAACATTTTGATTCAAGATGACAACAGCAGATCTTTGGTATTCAATCTAGGTATGTTAAAAATTAACACGTCATGGGTTTTTGTTCTTTCTTTTTCAGAACATGAAAAAAATCGCTTGTGCAAGAGCGCAGATTATATGAATCTTCACTTCAAGGTCAAGTGGCTCTACAACGAGTACTGTAAAGACCTCCCCTTCTTCAAGAGCAGAGTGCCTGAATATCCTGCGTAAGTAAACATAATACTTTGCAAAAGTAGGCACAAGTCTTAACAAAAAGACAAAAAATAATAAAAATATTTTATTGTTAGGCCTGCAGCTGGCTAATATTCAATTTGTAACACTCTACAGATGGTTTGAGCCATTTGTCATCCAGTGGCTAGACGAAAATGAAGAAGTCTCTCGTGACTTTCTGCATGGTGCTTTGGAAAGAGACAAAAAAGATGGGGTAAAAATGTTTTAAATTTTTTTATTCAACTCCCCTTTACTCCTCTGAAGGAATGCTGAGTTAGTGTTGCTGCAGGCAGAAATCTTTGCACCTGGTGTTATATTCAAAGTTATCATTCAACATTTCACCCTCTGCTTTGCCTCCTTTATCATATCCCCTGCCTTTCCTGTCTGCTTTAAACACAAAAGTGCCCACAGTCACAGCACAGACCAGTGCTGTTCTTAAAAATGACTGGTGTAGTAGACTTGCATGAGATTAAAGAGGTAGATGGCTTGTGTTGCAGCTGGACATTGTGAATAATGATTTTAATCCAAATGTCTGAATACAGAATATCCATCCTTGCCTCATTATCGAGACTCCCCAATTGGTTACTCTTCACATTCACCTCATGTCATTTGGGAGCTAGATGCTAAGCTGTATTCAATTACAAAACACAGACAGCAGTGCCCCACCTGTCACTGTCTATCCAGCTGTGTGTTGGACTGCTCAGTTCAGCGACAGACATTAAAGATCTTGCTTCACAAAGCAACTAATAGTTTATCTTTATCATCTTAGCTGAGTAAAGATGTTTGGTGTCACCTGTTTTAATCCTAGCCTTTCTCCCTCCGCACATTCTGTCATTTTATACCATACCGTACCATTTTCTTTATAAAGTACTTAAAACAGCAACAAGGCCAACCAAAGTACTGTACAGCAGAAATAAAGAAGAAAAGGACACAGGATAAAACATAGATCCAAATGGAAAAATGATAGTGGCTAACATTGTAGAATACAGACAGGTTAAGAACAAATCAAACAGTGTCAAAAGCCAGAGAATAAAGGTGGGTTTTTAAGCGAGACTTAAAAACAGTGAGAGAAGGGGACTGTCTGACGTGCAGTGGTGAGTCACTCCACAGTCTTGGACCTGCAACAGAGAAAGCCCTGTCACCTCTGAGCTCAAGACGAGTTCCTAAAACCAATAGAAGCATCTCATATGCTGACCTCAGATATCGCTGTGGGACAAATGGCTGCAGCAGATCAGCGAGATAAGAGGAGGCAGAACTGTTCAGTGATTTTAAAACATAAAGAAGGATTTTGAACTGAATTTGAAAGTGAACCAGGAGCCAGTGAAGGGAGGCCAGAACTGGTGTAATGTGCTCTCTTTTGCCTGTACCAGTTAAAAATTAGGCAACAGCATTTTGTACCAGTTGAAATTGTGTGATGGAGGTCTGACTGATTATATAAAGCAGTGTATTGCTGTAATCGAGCCTGGACATTATGAAAGCATGTATAACTGTCTCAAGGTTATTTTTGGACAGTATGGACCTCAGTTTAGACAGTCACCTCAGCTGAAAGAAACAGGATTTAACAATTGTGTTTACATGACTGTTAAGTTTCATGGAAGGGTCCATTATCACTCCCAGATTAGTGACTCTTTGTTTTTCTAACGGGGCTAGAGAGGAAAGGCTGATACCATGGTCCTTGATCGTGCCAGTAGGAGGAAACCACACGACTTCAGTCTTCTTCTTATTCAAACTTAAGGAATTTAAAGACATCCAGTCCCTGATGTCAGCCAGGCAATCAAGAAGAGGTTGAACAGAACGTGCACCAGTGTGCTTCGCTTTATAAATGTCTCTATACAATTTGAACACCTTGTATTTTGCTCCTGTCCCCTTTTTTCCAAGTTTTTAATCTGTCCGCTCTTGTTTTCTGCCCTACAGTTCCAGGTCACATCAGAACATGCTCTTTTCTCTTGTTCGGTGGTGGACGTGTTTTCCCAGCTCAACCAGAGTTTTGAGATCATCAGGAAGTTGGAGTGTCCAGATCCACAGATTGTAGGCCATTACATGAAGAGATTTGCCAAGGTGCATTTAATTCAACATGTTCAGCTTAACTTTTACTTACAAAATAAAAATTACTCAAAGCTCTTCTCATGTGCTCCTTTCTCATTTTGCTTTATTTTTATTTCCAGACCATCAGCAATGTTCTTCTGTCTTATGCTGATATTATCTCCAAGTTGTTTGCCAACTATGTTACCATGGAGAAAGTGGTAAGTGCAATGATAAAACTCTATACATAGTTTGTAGTAAGTCATTTGTGTTTGAGATAAAAGTTTCAATAGTTTATATTTTAAGATCAGTATAATTTATTTAATGAACTGATAGGTTCAGATGTGTATCTGTCATTCGTTTTCAGCCCTGCATCCTGATTAACAACATCCAGCAGCTCAGGGTTCAGTTGGAGAAGATGTTTGAAGCCATGGGTGGAAAAGATGTGAGTGATTCTGCTCTTTATGTCCAACAGAAGTGAGTTTAGTTGTGCGCCAAGTGCTTCTGTCTTTTTTTTTTGTTTTTCCTCTGCAGTTGGAGTCTTTTTCAGCTGCTCATTACTCTGTTCTTGTGCAGCACATTATTTTAGGATTTTTACACAGATTTAAGTTTCACAGTTCTTAATTCTAGTAAATAAGTCTTAATGTTTTTTTTATTTAGCTCTGCATAGAAGCCAGTGATATCCTGAAGGATCTGCAGGTTAAACTCAACAATGTCATGGACGATCTGAGCAGAGTCTTTGCTGTCAGGTAAAAAAATAAAATAAAAATCACTCGCATGCAACTGTTCTTCACAATACAGAAGCAGATCTCTCCAGTACATATTTCACAGAGCTTCATATTTTTCTGCACAGTTTCCAGCCTCATATTGAGGAGAATGTGAAGCAGATGGGAGATATCTTGGCTCAGGTGAAGGGGACGTCCAATGTAGGAAATGCCAGCAGCGTGGCTCAAGATGCTGACAATGTCCTGCAGCCAATCATGGAGTTCCTGGACAGCAAGTAGGACAATGTGGAGTTTCAACTGTTTCTGTTTATGCTGGTGAAGATTATGCAGAGAGTTTCTGCTAAAAAAAAAAAAAGGCAAAATTACTGAGCAATACACAGATTATTTGAGATTTTTGCAACATTCCACTTACAACAAAAGGTTATGGCAAGCCAGTATTTGTGCATAACGTTCTGTTTAGTAAAGAGAGAAATTACTTAAAATTATAAAAAAAACTTTTTTTGACAACTTTTGCTTGGGTTTATTCCAGCATCATTTCATTTTACTGGTTTTGTTTTTGGCATAAATGTGGGACGGAGAGCTGAGAAGGATTAGAGTGTTTGTTTCTCTCTGGAGCTAAAATTTGACTTTGACTCTTTATTTTGTCTCACTCTCCTCTCCCAGCCTGTCTTTGTTTGCTAAGATCTGTGAGAAGACTGTGCTGAAACGTGTGCTCAAGGAGCTGTGGAAGCTGGTGATGAACACCATGGAGAAAACCATCGTTCTGCCGCCACTCACAGACCAAACGGTGAGAGCTGTCATAAAAGTGCAAACAATTTAAACACTAGGAATCATTATAGTCACTAAAATATACTCCACCCACAACATTAATACCCACTTCATGTTTCCTATGTGCATACATTTTGTCATATGCACACCAATTATATATGTTTTAAATATTTTTTTTAATTAAAATTTCTTGTAAGAACTACAAAAACAAAAAAGCATCATGCATAAGCCCACACATTCACAAACATGTGATTGCACACCTCTAATTGCCAGTAAGCATTAAATAAAAAAGAAGGAGGTGGAGAATGAAAGAGTGAAAATACTGTAAAGGTAGATCATTTGTGTTTGCTGCAATTCAAATATCTTTGTAGAAACAAAATATCTAAGTGCTTTTGCTTCCCATCCACATGCCATCTGATCCTCTTCTCAACCCCTACGCATGATATATTTAATACTGCCCCCAGTGCCTTCATTCATTCAACCAGTCAAGATGAGTGTGTTTAATAAAAGGCTTAAGGAAAATGGATTGCACCATATCATTTCAACATCAGCTCATGGCTGCTTTCCAGTATGTCTCCCAGCAGTTGTTTGGAAAGATTTCTGCTTTATGAGTAACTCACAACAGAGTGCCATACATTTCTTTGCCCAAAGGATCTGGCCTATTTCCAAAAAGATTCATACATTATGCAAAGCAGCTTCTTATTTTATCCTCTTTTTTGTTTCATTTTGATATAAATGTTTTTTATGTTTGGTTATTATCTAAAGAGCCTCATATCACTGATAATAAAGTGAACCTGTCTAGTTCTCTTACACAGTATTACAGCAACTGGTTGTACAGTAGTCCCTCCTTTATCACAGGGGATCCGTACCCTGAAGCACCGCGATAAGTGAAAACCTGCAAAGTAGGAGGAGTAGTACAAGTAAAAAGTAGTATTTTGTTTTAGTATGTATATAGAATATAGTGTATATGTATAGTATACAGGTGCTGGTTATAAAATTAGAATATCATGAAAAAGTTGATTTATTTCAGTAATTTCATTCTAAAAGTGACTCTTGTATATTATATTCATTCATTACACACATACTGCTATATTTCATATGTTTATTTCTTTTAATGTTGATGATTATAACTGACAACTAATGAAAACCCCAAATTCAGTATCTCAGAAAATTAGAATATTACTTAAGACCAATAAAAAAAGGATTTTTAGAAATGTTGGCCAAGTGAAAAGTATGAACATGAAAAGTATGAGCATGTACAGCACTCAGTACTTAGTTGGGGCTCCTTTTGCCTGGATTACTGCAGCAGTGCATCGTGGCATGGAGTCAATCAGTCTGTGTCACTGCTCAGGTGTTATGAGAGCCCAGGATGCTCTGATAGTGGCCTTCAACTCTTCTGAATTGTTGGGTCTGGTGTATCATTTTGCTTTTGGAAACTTTAATTCCTCTTTTTCTGGATGTAAATCACCTTTTTTGGGTGGTTGTTTCCTCTGGTATCAGATGCTGTGCAGCTGGAAGGATTTTTACTGAAACTTTTTTAGTTCTGGACATTTGTTATGATGCGTAACCATGGCAACAAGGCAGTTTTCTTCAAACAACAGCAGCTGATTAACATCTCAAAAGCTCAAATAATATATCAACTACAGTCCCAAATCTTAATGAGTTGAAAGGATGTTCTGTGGACGCATTCTCATCTACCTGCCAGCTGTGCTCGAGTGCCTGACCACTGAGATCCTGGAACTAGCAGGAATCACGGCTCATGACAGCAGAAGGACAGGATCGTCCCTCGGCACCTACAGTTGGCTGTCCGCAGCGACAAGGAGCTAGACAGACCACTGGGAGGAGTGGCCATCGCTCTGGGAGGAGTTCTGCCCAGCATTCGTGTGGTCCTACAGCCCAGAGGAACCGAGAGGCCAGCCGAGTATGGGTGGACGGATCGGACGGCATCTGCAGCCAGTTTCTTAGGATCCACTGTGGGATGGACCTTTACAAGAGATCCTTCCTGTCTACAGCCATCAGTATCTATAACATCTCTTAATGAAACGAGGGTAACGAGTTACAACAACAAATAATTTCCCTTTGGGATTAATAAAGTATTTTTGAATTGAATTGAATTGAATCACATCTTCCTCTTGACAATACACCATAGATTTTCTATGGGGTTATGGTCAGGTGAGTTTGCTGTCCACTTAAGAACAGGGCTACCTTTGTCCTTAAACCAGATACTGGTAGCTTTGGCACTCTGTGCAGGTGCCAAGTTATGTTGGAAAATGAAATCTGCATCTCCATAAAGTTGGTCAGCAGCAGGAAGCATGAAGTGCTCTAAAATGTCCTGGTAGATGGCTGCGTTGAACTTCATGCTCTAAAATGTCCTGGTAGATGGCTGCGTTGAACTTGGACCTCAGAAAACACAGTGGACCAACACCAGCAAATGACATGGCATCCCAAACCATCACTGACTGTGGAAACTTGACACTGGACCTCAAGCAACATGGATTCTGTGCTTCTCCTCTCTTCCTCCAAACTCTGGGACCTTGATTTCCAAAGGAAATGCAACATTTACTTTCATCAGAGAACATAACTTTGGACCACTCAGCAGCAGTCCCAGGTGAGATGCTTCTGACACAGTCTCTTGTTCAAGAGTGGCTTGACACAAGGAATGCGACAGCTGAAACCCATGTCTTGCACACGTTTGTGTGTGGTGGTTCTTGAAGCACTGACTTCAGCTGCAGTCCACTCTTTTTGAATCTCCCCCACATTTTGGAACTAATTTTGTTTCACAATCCTCTCCAGGGTGTTGTTATTACTATTGTTTGTGTACTTTTTTCTACCACATCTTTTCCTTCCCTTCACTTCTCTATTAATGTGCTTGGACACAGAGCTCTGTGAGCAGCCAGCCTCTTTAGCAATGAACTTGTGTATCTTGCCCTCCTTGTGCAAGGTGTCAATGGTCGTCTTTTTGACAACTGTCAAGTCAGCAGTCTTCCCCATGATTGTGTAGCCTACAGAACTAGACTGAGAGACCATTTAAATGCCGTTGCAGATGTAGAGTTAATTAGATGATTAGAGTGTGACACCAGGTGTCTTCAATATTGAACCTTTTCACAATATTCTAATTTTCTGAGACACTGAATTTGGGGTTTTCATTAGTTGTCAGTTATCATAATCAACATTAAAAGAAATAAACATTTGAAACATACCAGTCTGTGTGTAATGAATGAATATATTATACAAGTTTCACTTTTTGAATGGACTTACTGAAACTAATTATATTCTAATTTTATGGCCAGCACACACACACACACACACACATACATACATATATATGTGTGTGTGTGTGTTTCTAAACTAAACGCTCTTCAGGAGCACAGCATGTCATGAACTCAGCTCTCTGTCTCTGACTGCTCTCTGCCATCTGCCAGCGCTCTCGGCCACGCCCACTTCTCTGCCTCAGAGCGTAGATATGACACGCTGCAGGAGGGAGCTTCTCCTGCAGTGTGGGCTGCACACAGGTGCAGCAGCTTCTAAATAATTTTAAATAATTTATTTTAAATAAAAATTCCATGCCGATTGTACGGCTCATCCATCAATCAGCTAATTGTGTGTCATGTCCAAGCTTATTTTGAAAAGCCGAGATAGAGTGAGTCCGCCAAAAACTAACCGCAAAGTAGCGAGGGACTACTGTCATACTGGCATGAAGCTTTTTCCAGTTGACTTAACTGATTTTAGTCTCCCAAGGCTTTATTTTACAACATTAAACCAACATTGCTGTGAATTTTCTGGAGCCCAAATTTGTGTTTCTGATTGATGTGGGGCTCTTTGTAGCTTGACTGACCCTTCTCTCTGGTTGTTGTTGTGAATATTATTACATCCTGCTCCGCTCTCCTTCCACAGATGATTGTAAGTACAGCGCTCCTGTGTCTCTGTCTGTCTGTCAGTGAACAATTCTCTGCTACACGTGGCTGCCCCTGTCCCCCTCCTCGTTTTGTACTCCCCATCTAAGCGCTCCCGCTCCCCACTGCTCTGATTTGTTCCATCTCTTGTCTCTCTTCCAACTCTGTCTCTTGTTCGAGACGACAGAAGCATGGTGCATTCCCTGAATCTTTCCGATAGGTCCCAGACTCCCCTCAGCAATCTTTTTTCTCTTCCTGGAAACTCTCCTCAAAGCAGGAAGTGGTTCTTTTCTGTGGCGCCTTGTTTCCTGTTTTTACTGGCTCTTTGGTGGGGTGACTAACATCTCAATAACTTCATATTGTGTGTCTTTATCCACTTCCAGTCCCTCCTCTTTGCCCACCTCTGCATTCACCCCTCCTTATCTCTACTTGTTGAACTTGGCCCTGTCCCTCCTACCTGTTACTGGTTTGTTGCTTGCATCTGATCTTTTCCAGCACCCCAGTCTTCTTATAATACTGTGCAACACTGTATTGCACTGTATGTGTCTGCAGACCTGTCATGTTGGTCTGTCTTGGTTTGGTTTGATGTTTCTTTGTAATAATAACTGTCACAGTTGTATAAAAGCATTATACACATAAAGTGTTATTTCTTAAGAAGTTTTTGTCAAGAATGCCTTAAAGCTCTATGGATCAGCTTCATGTTGACATTGTTTTGTATTTTTAAATGTAATTTGTTTCATGTTTTTCTCGATGCTGCCCAAATTTTCCTGCCCATTTGATTTAATCTTAGTTTTTCTTTTGGTTTCTGGTATAACTGGTGTACACTGACTAAAAATATAAATTAATAATGTTGTTTTTTTTTTTATATGAGTTTTATCAAAAACAGTTTGGACAGAAGTTTCTACATAGAGCTTTATTGCATTTTTTTTCCCAGAGTTCTCTGTTAAAAAGCCACAATTAAACATTTTGATAAATACTTGTTCAAAGTTTGGTGAAGCTCTCCTGTCTGTACGCTGAATATTGAACTAAACTAATTGTGATTAAAGCCTCGAAAAGGAACTTCTCTAGACTACAAAGAATTTTTAGAAATTAGCTTGGCAAGCTGTGTATAAATCAGAATCGTACATAAATATGTGCTTGCATACATTTCTCTGACAAACACAGAGATTATCCCTGCTGGATCAGACAGACAATCCTGCATTTAAGTCTTCGGAGCAGCTTTATTCAAATCAGTGCATGTGTTTGTTCCAGAGGGAATGGTGTCCATCTGACCACAGCTATATTACAGTTTCTGCTCTAAATCAATATAATGTTGTCTGGTCTTCAGCTCCATTGTTATTATTTCCTTTTTGAACAATATTTTGCTACTGACGTAGTTGGAAAATAGGTTACATTTGGTATTTTTATGTCTAAAATTGATTTGACGTCCTGTTTCACTTGTTACTTTTTGACTTCCTGTATAAATATGAACAGCTCGGCATCAGTCAGACCCCACAGTACAACACAAATGTTTATCTGTGAGAAATCTGAGTAAACATAATCAAATGCAGGTGAACAGAGTCAAAGCAAATATGGTGCCAACATATATTTATATTTATATCCTGTAATGTCACTAATGTACTTTGCCACTTTGATATTTATCAAGGCTTTGTGCATAATTTTAGAATATATTGCTGCTTTGGAGAACAAAATAGTTAAGTTACACAACAAAAGGGAACATCTCTGGCCACAATCACTGTCCCTTTTTCAATGTTGTGCAAAGAAACAGTCACATTTTTAGCACACTCTTCTCTAGCACGATGTCCGGGGCTGGCCATTGCTTCAAGTATTAACCACGTGCTCTCTTTCCAGGGGAGGCTGAAGAATGCTTCTCACAGTGATGTAAGGACCAAACCCCTTTAGATCAATGTGTCTCGTTTCTCTCTTCTATGTCTTCTCACTGTGTCTCTGTCTCCCCAGTCAGACAAAGCAGTGGAAACATTTTGTTTCACTTTACTCACCATTTAATTACCCTTTCCACATGAAATAAAAATGCCAGATTTCATGCGCATCTGCAGGCAAGACTTAAATGTACAACAAGAATCAGCAGCCACTTAATTTAATATGATTTAAAATATCTGGTTCCTGTTATTATCACAGTCAAATTTGAGATTCTGAGATAAACTCAAGGCTTTAAGCTTTTTATTTATCCACAAATCTGTGAGACTGCAAATTTGACATCAGACAGTTTCTGTAAGTGCACGTTCTAGCAGCAGCGGCAGTAGAAAAAGGTTTTAACATGCAGCAGTGGGAAAAAATGAATGTAAAAGTTGTAAAAATCTGTTTGCTCAGTTTAGACGTTTTGTGTTGTGCATGTGTGTTTTTGGTGTGAAGGTATGGGAGTATCAGATGTAAATTCAACACCAAAAGTAAAATGAGATTTAGGGAACGTCTACAAATTACAACATTCAGCTGTTTAATATCAGTCATACTTTTATCTGTAGTGTCAAAAGAATCACGTCAGGCATTTATGTATCCTGTTAGTATTATTCTGAAAGTTAAATCAGAATGTATGTAGTATTTTAGAAAATGTTTATCCTTGTGTTATTTAGTAACATTTCCTAAAATCTCATTCAGTTCAGCAGTGGTGATTTTAGCCTCTTTTTGAGGGTGCTCAAGCACTCCTAAATTTTAACTTGGCGCCCATGAATAATAAAGAAACCATCAGTTCTCAAACTGCTCAGTTCTCAGACAGGTGGATGCCGCCTGTCAATCAACCCAGTAGGCTCGTTAGCAAGTGACCAGTCGGAGACCTCACTTTGTCCCGAAGTGAAATGTCCCTTACCTGAAGGAGATTTGGGGG